GGGGGGGGGGGGTCCGGGGCATGAAAAAGTGCATTCTGGCCACTGAAAATCTGCCTTCACATCTCATTAAATATGTCATTTTTTCCTAAGCTTAACGGTACTAATCTGAGTGGAAAAGCATGACATTAAGGGTAACATGACATTAACAGATATTGTGAATCATGTTCCTTTATTCAGACAAATGGGAAGTGATATTAAGCAGAATTCGCTGATTGACAATGTTATCTAACTGGTTGCCGTGTAGCACTGAATACTCACATCAGACAGTGAGGCCGAATACCATCGCTCCGTGAAACTTTGCTGTCTATTTTGAGAAGTGTCAGGTCGAAAGTTCCAAATTCCACTCAGGTCTTTTACCTCTCTGGTCTCAGATTCTCTGGGATACAGCATGCCACCATCAGTTTGCGATACAGCTGTAACGCTGCAGATATTTAAAATCCAACAGTAAAGTAAAAGTATACATGGAGTTTGAGTAAAACGCATTGTAGCGGATAGGTTTGTTATTGTTTACAAAAAGTTACTGGAGGTCGCCATTTTAAAGAGCACGTGATTTGATCCGGGGAATACTAAATACCGATGGGGATTACTACAGTCCAGAAATAACGCGAGGGAACCGAATTGAAACACTTTTCATATTGATAATGTAGTTTTTTTTAAATTTTGCATTACAAGTTAAGTGAATGGTTTCTTTATGAATAAAAATAAAAATAGTATTAAGCAAATGGTGGAGTAGTGTTTATCTGTCTACAATTGTACATTCTATATTTTTGATAATTATCTCAAAGTAAACAAATAAATCTGGTAAAATGTACAGGTGTATGGTGTACTTCAGATTTCTAAAGTCTAAAAGCATGGGAAATAGCTGTTCGTACGAATATGTTGAAGTATCAAAGTAAACCTGACGCAACTATAAATGCAAGCTTATACTCTATAGCTAGCTGTTGATGAAAAAAGGATACTGTACTGAACACAGAATACAATCTTGTTTATGGTTTTATTATCGGCAAAATTAATATATTTTTCCTGTAGCTAAATATAATAGGAAATATTGATATATCTCCTGTTAAAAAGTGGTTCATTTTTTACGAAACGAAAGTTTGTTCGTGGCAATTTTGGGATGTAAAAAATATTTGGTCGTACGAAAGATAAAGTCAAGTCAAGTACAAATTATTTGTAAGTCGGAACATAGTTTAAATGATAACACAAGCATGTTAAAGGCTTTTACAACCGACTATAAAGAAAACATGAAAGTAAGAAAATCGCTGTCACATTTTAAAGAAACATAACAAGTGTGCATAAATACGACAATTATTTAGCACAGATGTAAAATACATGTGTGAAATATTAAACTTTTATAAGCGAAATCAAAACATAAACATGTGTGTTTCCAGAATATATGCTATAATTTATGGCATGTTTAAATTTGTATTAAATATATATGTATTTTTTTAATTTTTGATCAGTTTAGGACAGAGAGTCCACCTTCTATATAGAGATTTCCTCACCGTCTCCCCGACACCAGACACTCTCATTATCTCCAATATTTGATATGTTATATAATTAAGATACTTAAGACATTATAAGATCCTTCTGGAAACACACTTGTTACAATAAAAACACAAGTGCCACAAACATTTTTGGCCGATTTGTTACATGAAGCAACGTTCAGTTCGGCTGTTTAGTTAATTTGTACAATAAAATGCACATTGCTAGTTTACATGACACACATAAGATATATACATATCAATATAAATAAAAGCACATACATACACTATAGCATGGGTGGCGAGCGGTTGCGTCAATCTTTTAAGCCCCCCCCCCCCATCTGCTAGAGCACATACATGCATGTATATAGCACTAAAATAATAAATTTCTTCCAAAAATATACCCATAACACACACATGATCACCGGGCTTCATTTTGTTAGTAAATTTATATTACAAGCTGAACACCTACAGCCGCCCATACACGTTTTGTGGAGGCAACAACATAGCAGCAAGCTGCAATTCCAACCAGCAGCAGCGAGAGCCGACCAGTCCATGGCTGGGTCTGGGCCCATATTCATGAAACCGATCTCATGCTCAAACTCATGCTCTATGCTCAAGACCAGTTTCTTGTTCGAGTAATAAATTAGTAAGTAATCACATTTTGTTCATAATTTGACGAAATTTGGATAGACTTCGTGCCAAATACCAATGTCATCATTACCACTTGAATTTTAAACGTGTCTCATGATTTTAATTTAAAGTGAGTAACTAGAAACTGTGTTTAAGCCTGAATCCATGCTTGAGCATGAAAACGGTTTCTTGCATACAGGCCCTGATCCACCAAGTCGGCGCACCTCTGGAGGATGTCGTGTCGTGGATAAACGCCGAAACGTCTAACGAAGGAGGACCATCCACCCGATGATGGTACTAGCCAGCATTGGAATATATTCTTATGTATTCAAGGTATGAAATTGCCGAGATTCACTGCGTTTCGGGCATCTTCAGGTAGATCTCGCCAAAGTTTTGCTCATAGCTATAGGTTTGAGAAGCTCTTTCGGCCATACCTTTCTGTTCTAACAGATGGTACCTACAGAATATTTCCGTATCTGAAAGATTAGTTATCATCATGAGCATGAATAAGGTCTTTCAATTTCCATGAATAATTTTAAAAGTTTTTATTGTTACTTTTCGCAATCTTTCTATATGCAACATAGCCAGATTTGATTTTTGTAATAAAGCCTCATAGCTAGAGTCAAAATCCTGAAAAGAAAATTTTTGAATCTGTAGTTTATTTTTTCTAGCTTCTCAGAACTGCTCAAGCATACACTAAAAATTCCAAGAATATTTTTCTTAATCATATGTTTTTATAAGCGGACCTTTTAATAATTTCTTTTTTAATGATTGATATGGACCGTCCGTATCAATCATAAAAAGGAAAGAAATGAAAAAAATCTTCTTGAAAATTTCAGTCTGATAAAATAGTGTTGTTATGCTATTTCAATATAAATCTCGAAGGTTTATGTACATAAAAAAATACTAAGTGAAGTACAAAGTTGATTAATATTCATATAAAAAGTCGGGTTTTTAAAACCTGTTGATAATCAGACTAAAATGAGTTCACAGAACACGAAAGTTTGCTTCTAGAGCCTGGTAGAATACCTTTTCCCAGCTATAGTCCCTCCCATACCCTCCCCTCCTCCGGCGCTACGCGCATCCCATTTCCGGTCGGAAGGGATATACCCCCTCCTTCGCGCACGCATCGGCATGTATAGCCTACAGTAGGCCAGTATGAAGTTGGAAACCTTCTTTCCCAAAAATACTGCATCAACTGCTTCACGTTTTCCAGCAAAATACACTGTTACAAGTTTCCGCGTAAGAAACTGTTGTTCGCGCGCTATTAATACTTCTTTCTATGACGTCACAATAGGCGATCGTCACGCGAGATTTCCTGTCGTCATTGTCACTGTTGCTAGCGACGAAGGAAGCTACAGCTTAACTAGACATGCGAAGAAGATCTTTACTCTTATTCACACAGTATTCTTGAATCAGGTACAGAACATTCTTTAAGGTACGTACGATTTCAGTGTTTTCATTTTTCTACATGAATATAGTTGTTTTGATTCAAAGCAAAGCATACATATGAGTACTCATTAATCGGACTTGTTTAAAGCGGAGTTGCATGTACTGTTTCACTCGTCAGTCATATCTGTCTAAAGCGGAGTTACTGTTGAACTCATCAATCATACCTGTCTAAAGCGGCTGTTTGAACCATTAATCATACATGTCTAAACGGAGTCACTGTTTAACTCATCAATCATATCTGTCTTAAGCGTAATTTCTGCTGAACTCATTGGCCATACCTGTCTAAAGCGGAGTTACTGTTTAACTCATTGATCATACCTGTCTAAAGTGGAGTTACTGTTTAACTCATCAATCATACCTGTCTAAAGCTGAGTCACTGCTTAACTCATCAATCATACCTGTCTAAAGTGGAGTTACTGCTTATTTCATCAATGATACCTTTTTAAATCGGAGCTACTGTTTAACTCGGCGATCATACCTGTCTAAAGTGGAGTTATTATTTCACTCATCAATCATGCTTGTATAAGGTGGAACTAATGAAATTTGACTTCACTTTCCATTGTTTTTTTCGCACGTTAGAAATGATTAAAATCGTTCACAACATAATTTGACTTAATAGCCCCACCATATTTCTACATAATACCACAGGAGCGAGATGAACTCCTTGAATCACACCATCAGGTTTGACAAAAACGGTTTGCTTGTCTCCGGAGTCTTTAAGCATATTGTGATAATATTGTAAAATAATTCGTCAGCCTGGAAAATTTCAGGTTTAGTTTGATTTATTAGGAGTGGATGGGTGTCCCACATTGGGTTGTCATTAAATAAAAAAAAATATATAAACTTCATCTCATTATCTCGGATCTTTGACAGGCCCTTTTTCTTAACTGATACAAACAGGCCCGTATTCATTAAACTGTTCTCAGCTAATTTGCATATCAAGCGATCGAGGACGATCCCATGACGAAACTTTGCGAAATTGTACGAAATGTAGCGAATAATTACGTATCGTAGCTAATTGAATCCGAAATTTCATAACGAATGAAAGCGAATTGTAACGATTGGTTGACGTTCAAAAACGAACGGCATACGCTTGTATACGAATCATTACGAAGGGTAACTATGGCATACGAATCTACGCGAATCATAACGCATCTGAATTTCTTGAGTATCGCAACAGTTTTGTGTAGCTCTTGAATTTCATATATAAAAGGAGGAGGCTAAATATCAAGATTATTAGTTATTCCTTCGTCAAAATGGAAGAAATACAACGTCTGAGGCTGCAGTATGTGGCTGCTATGACCCTCCAAGAAGTCTTCCAGCAACAATTTAACATCAACCAGTTCATCAGAGGCCGATTTAGGTGGAGAAGAGGAATTTGGCATCTATGATTAGCTCATGGTTGAACTCAGAAGAGAAGATCCTAGAACTTTCAAGAAATTCCTCTGCATGCCAATTGAAATGTATGATGAAATATTCGAGAGAGTCCGTCATCGCCTCTGGAAACAACACACATGGTACAGGGAGCCCTTGGATCAAGGCCTCAAGTTAGCTTCAACTCTACGCCACCTGGTTTCTGGTGCCAAGTACTCAGACATGCAGTACTCCTGGCGGGTCGCTGAGAATACCCTCTCTGTAGTGGTCAGATAAGTCTGTCATGCTATATGTGAGGAATATGTTGATGAGGTTATGACAGCCCCCTCCACACCTGAAGAACGGAAACAACTGGCTGATGGTTTCCTCAAGAAGTGGAACTCCTAATTGTGTTGCTAACATTGATGGCAAACACATAGCCATCAGAAAGCCTGCCAGCTCTGGTTCCTTATATTATGATTATAAGGAACCTCAGACTGGCATGGAACATAGAAATGTACAAAACAAATATCAATAACTGTCAACAAATAGTCGGGAACAAGTTTACTGTGCATACACCAAGACAGTGACAAACATTTAATGTAAATCCTTTTCCTTA